GGAGTATTTCAAAATAAAAATTAGTTCTTCTCGAAGAACTATACTCCAAACACCATAATTAAAAATTAAGAGTTTTTAAGAGTATTTTTTCACTAGACCTAAAATATTTTGGGTAAAATTAATGAAAAAAGGTATTTATCATCGAAATATTAAATTAATTTGATGTCTACCAGGATTCAATTAAAATATTTTGTTTCATTATAACACGGCATTCATTTTAATATAACCAATTAAATGAAAACTTTTGACCGCATTTAACCTTTTACATATAATCAAGATGATGATTTTTTCTTCAATTTGTATACATGGACATTAATAAATTCTGCTCATCTTCCATTAACTACGACTGGATATGTCTAGTTGTTGTAATTCCACTTTCACTACTCATATTAAAACTAAAATAAAACAACTACATTCACTGATCGTACATATTGCAGATTATAATCATTCCTTTTGTTGTAAAACTTAAACGACAACAATATAAACTGTGTATATATGAATTTATGTATTTGTTGCAAGTTGCACAGCATGATTAACTGTTGACGATAGTTTGCAAAAGATTATAAAAAAAAGAAAAAATTTTTTCTGTCATCGGAATTGTAACTGTAAGAAATAAATTCATCATCGTAATTATGAAGAATACACACAAAGGTGTTACATATATGCATTAAAACATAAAAATATAAAAAAAATTTTATTTTTTTTTATTTTATTTCTGACGTCATTTACTGCATGCAGTTGTGGAAGTTTTCCAGCTTCTTTTCATGGTCAAGTTCATGTGCATACAGATATTTACTACAATATGATATCGCAGATGTAAGCTACACGTTCAAATATCAATACACAGGTTTACAAATCTACAAACAGTTTACAGTCAGCACCATACGTATTCGTTCAATAACAATAATGTTAAATTTTTCAATTTAATAAAAACTGCAAACATAACATCCGATCAAAAGTGGAATTAATTCTTCAGTAAAAGAGAAGGAACAATTCTTTCTTAATTTTTTAGATTCAGCATTTTATTAATTAAATATGATATACAATATAGGTATATCATTTGAAAGGTTTTCTAAAGGTTCGATTACTTTTATAAACCACTATTTGCATATCATAAAGAAACGTAATTTTAAATTGAATAAGTATACAGCATATAATATATCGTCACCTAAAACGCAAACGGTGATAGCTGAATATAGTGTTTCATAGATAGGGCCTTTTGTTAATTAAAATTGCTAATTTTGGTTTGATTCAGTACATCAGAAGAAACAATAAAGTCGATTTTGAATTTTTGGTTAGTTAAAGCAGTTTGTGTTTTAGGTAACGATATGAATGTATTAAATGCATGTAAATGTATAAGTATGTATGTATGTGTGTATATAATGTTATGTGGTAGTTTAGGTAGTTCTTACTTCAACAGAGAAACAGTCAACTTAAAATTTTTCCTCGTTAATGATGTTTCGTCGTCATCTAAAAGTCCGTCTTATTAATTGGTCGTATTGAAATTAGCAAGAAATTTTATTTAATGTTATTTTATTTGCATACAAACATTCATATGAATTGCATTTACTTGTGTATGTTTTTTAATGTATTATTGATAGATACATGTTTATATCTTATGGATAATAAAGACATAGATAATAATGAAGCTACTTGTTCAACGGGTTATCCATCATCGATAGCATTAAATGTACATGAACAATGTTGTAATTTAACAATAAGTGTGCCTCTTATGCATCACGATTATATCAACATGTTGCTACAAATATTCTCACAACGTAATGTTGCACATGAAATGTGGCGTTTATTTGTTTTATTATATGGATTAGCAAGAGTTTTTCTTGTTAGCAAATGTGTATGTATGATTTTCAATTTTTAAATTACAAAAAGTTTTTTTATAAAAATTATTCTTGATAAATTGTTAAAAAAGGTCTATGGAGTTAAAGAAAAATGATAATCGAAATAGTAAATATATGAATTATTTGGAAATACTAAAAATATTTCCTTCTATATTTCCATTTACTTTACTTTTACTGTATAAATATGTTTGAATTTGTGGCATAGCAATTTTGTTTACCTTAATATTATTTTTAGAAACATTTACTATTTTGTAGCTTCATAAAATCAGAGCCATTCTAATAAATAAAATACATTTTACCCATGTAAATAAATACACACAGTCATACATATAATATGAATAATGTAATATATTCATATGGAAAGAATACATTTTCACTGTTTGCATAAATATTGTCGAAGCAATTTGTAAGAGTGATTGACGATTAATAATTTATTTTTATTGGTATTATGAAGAATTAAATTATTAAATAAAGTGAATGGTGTGGAATAAACAATAACAACAAAATAAAAAAAATTAAACATTTTCACAAAGTATGTATGTATGTATGAATAATAAATTATTTCTTAGTTACTACCGTCTGCTAGAAAGTTCAGATACAAATTTCAAATAATTAACATCCATTTATGATTAATTTACTTTCAAAAGTCAACATGAATTTTTTTAAAATTTATTAATTAAAATTGTACAACAAATATAATAGGGGGGAGAAATTGTGAACAGCGAGCTTAATTTTTTTTAATGAAATTTTCACCAAATTAATATTACATCTAGTAATGGAAGTGATTAATAGCAATGACATTGCCATTTATTAAAATGGAACCATAAAAAAGTTTATAATTCTTTCAGCCTATAAACAGATTTATCAATTAATAATGCTTTTAACATTGTTGTTGTTTGTATTTTGTACCATCAATACTCTAGAACAAATTTTGACTTTAGATATACCAATGCGCTAAGAGCCCGTCTAATATATAACTGAATTAACGTTTAAATAAATGTGCAAAATAATTGTACATATATTTTTAAAAAAGCATGTATGTGTATGTATGTATGTATGTATGTATGTATGTATGTATGTATGTATGTATGTATGTATGTATGTATGTATGTATGTATGTATGTATGTATGTATGTATGTATGTATGTATGTATGTATGTATGTATGTATGTATGTATGTATGTATGTATGTATGTATGTATGTATATATGTATGTATGTATGTATGTATATATGTATGTATGTATGTACGTATTTATTTTCCTACCATCATTATGGAATCAAAAAGGTAAACTTTCGTTTAAAGCCGTGAAATTGCATATAAATGCATTGTTTTGAAAACAACTACATTTTGGATGCCTACAAACAAGCTCAGTACATATCCATATAACTAAACAGTGTCTAACAAAATACTATGTACTAATAAACAATAATATGTTAAATTAAGATATAAATAGTTCAATGAACGATTGTTTAATAACTAATTAAACAATCAATTAAATAACATTAATTATTTTCAAAATTCACCTTTAAATCTAGATGTACCTATCGTAAAAACTACTATATAAAGCAAACGAATAGATGTACATATTAGGGATTTCAAACGATTATCCGTCGATCGGTTAGACTAATGGCTCGAATAAATGAAATAATTTAATTAACCGATTAATAAAAACATACTATTTCATACAGAATTCAACATTATAATAAATAAATTTTCTTCCTTTAATTAAATAATTTTGCTAGCCAATAACATTGCTCTCTTGAAAAGTAATGTTCAGTAATGCCCAACTTTCCATATTTTGAATGTTTTAAACAGTTAGATCATGTGGTAAACTTTTAACTAAGGAATATTATGAACTACACTGTTTAAGTGTAACTATACATATACAAAAATTAAAAAAGAGACACATGAAAAGAAAATGAAAACAAAACAAAACGCTGGTTACTTGGCTGTTTGGTTGGCTTGGCTTAAATTTCTTCTATCAAATGCAGGTAAGCTTCTTCTCTACATACATGTATACACACATATTGTACATACATATGTATATATCCATTAGGTGTATACATTTTTACACATTTTTTTAAAATACCAAATCGGTCCTTAACATTAAAAATGAAAAGTTTTCATATTGCTTTACCACAAAACAACAAATGAGCAACATTTTAAAAAATTGTATTTCAAAATGGGAAAATTTTCATATCAAGAAGTTTCATTATTCGACCGAAAACGCTTACATGAAGAAACGATAAAAGACAGTATTTTGCTATAGTTAAGTTGTAGACCCAAAATATTTCTGCGAACATTATAAATAAAAGCAAGGAATATTTCAAGGGAGTAAAAAAACATCACGTTGACCCAGTCTAAAATACATATATGGAATAACTCAAAAAAGATCTTTTGGAGAAAAACGGTTTCAAAGGTTTTATAGCAGTTTAATATTTTTAAATCACTTTTAAAGAAGTCATGAGATTTTACGGGAAACGGGGATTGATTTTAAAAGTTATTAAAGGAAACGAAACTTAACATGTACCATATTATTGAATGCACACTCTTTAAAAATTCTGCGGAATTACCGTCATTTTCCATTAAAAAAAACTCTAGTTGCAAAAGAGCAACAATTTACATTTCTGTGGCAAGAATGAAAAAGTACATATCTCAAGTTATACAAAAACATGTTTTCGCATTTTTGAAACCTCCAGACTCAACTCTATATTGTGTTAATTTTTCATAAAGATCGGATCAGAACTTTTGAAAATATCGATTTTTTATTATATTGTATTGTATTGGAATTTAAAACTTTATAACGTTTTCCTAAAAAGTAAAAAAAAAACAACTTATGTACTTTTGCCTTTTTACCACAGATTTATGAATTCTTATACATTTGTTTCAAAAAGTTTTTCGTTCAAAATTAATCTATAACACGCTTGACTCTATAACAAACACTACTACATAGTAAAACTGTCGAAATTTAGTTACACGCCTAATGTACATATTATGCGTCTGTATGTGTGCGTATGCGTTTTTAAAGCTCTAACAATTACAGTGTGTCAATATACAAAACACTATATTGCATTTGGCTGTTCATGTTTGTTAATAATAATTGTTGGACAAATACATTAAACATTGAAGAAACTTTAATTCAGTCGGACACAAGACGCGATACCAATACAATCGATTTACAAATAACGGAGCATTTAAAGCTCATCAAAATATAAACACTATTAAAAGAAATATAAACATTTTAACAATTTTATTTCCCTGCAAAAAATTCGACATCGGATGAGTGATTTTATTTTATTAAAAATTGAGGGAAATGTTTTTGGTAGTTTAAAAAAAAAAATACAGTCGCATATGAACAATGAAAGTAATTTGAAATATATACGGAAACATGGATAAATTTTATGTTAAACCCAAAAGAAGTTCGGTTTCAACTAATCCATCGTCGAGTAGAGTTAGTACAACTACTTCCAGATCATCTGCGGAGATCTTTCAATCATCATCCAATACCAGACGATTAGGCGTTGGAAATATTTGTTCGAAAATCCGCCACAAGATTGAAGATAATTTAACACCAAAAATCAGTAGCAAACTATATAAAACGGGAAAGCATTCCAAATCCTTGACAGCTTTAAGTTCGATTGGGGCATCTACAGGAAAATATACATTAACCAATAAAAATTCAATTGCAACGACATCTTCTGAGAACCGTAAAATCAAACTAAATCCCAATGCTAAAATCAGCCAAATTGACAGTTCAAATGAAAAACCAAATCCATATGCTGAATGTTACAATACATCAAAGGATACATCGTATTTTACAAAATCTTCATTAGTTTCTTATGTCGACAGCGACGAAGATGAAACCCAATTGAGTTTGAGTATAGCGAAAACATCTTTAGAAGATGAAATTTTTGAGGAATTGGAAAAGGTAGCTCACGATGAAAACAAATTAAATGCGGTATTAAAAACGTTTGACAAAATAATATTTGACTACAATGATCCTCAACTTCAAACAAAACCAAATACCGATGAACACTGTTCTAAGGAGAAAACAGAAAAAGTTGAAAACTCAAATTCTGCGAAAGATAGTGATCATTTTACTAAGAACGAAGTGTGTTTACAAAATGAAAATACATTGTTGAAAACAGAGAGCGAAGTAATCGACAATTCTAATTCAGTAATTTGTTGCTTAAAATCAGAGACTGATAGTCGCCTTCAGTTGGATTGCAATACGGTCGAATGGAAAAAGTTAGAAAAATCGTCCTCAACACTATCTCTGACCCGTAGAAAATGCTATCAGTCGCCTGATTCTCCTTGTCTTAGGCAAATGCGAAATGTGTTTGCTAAGCAACAAAGATCCAAATCTGTTTGGGAACTCTCGAACTCCACCAAAATACCAATACTAAGAGCACTACCATTAAAAACGCGAAGTAAAAGTTTTTGTTATCAAAACTCTGATGGATCTACTCATACGAATAATTTTAAATCATTGCAAAGTCAAAAGACATTGAAAACATCAACTCAGTTATTGAATGATCAAGAGAAATCTGTGTCCTCGTCATCTTTGGCCATAGCTAACAAAAAACAGAAATCTACAGAAAATAACATATGTAAACCAGATAAAAGAGTTGTTTTAGTTCCACCGACAAAAAATAACAAATCACAAAACAAAACTTTTTCGAAAAGTTTGTCTTCCAAGTCTAAAAGGTCAACAACATCTACTGCCAATCAAAATTTAACATCGACTACTCATATAAATAGGTCTGCTATGAGCCGAAGTAATGTAAGTGATGAATTGTTAGACAAGTGTCTGGAAAAAGGACAACAAATTCTACGCAAAGTAGAATCGTTAAATACACAGCGAACTCAAGTCTCGTCACATACCAAAAAATCTCTAGTACGAACGAAATCAAATTCGAATAAAAAAATATCCAAAGATAATTTAACACTAAAACGTAAGCAATGGCTACATAAACTTAACTATGCAAACGAAGAAAAAATAGCAACACCACCGTTGGAATCGTGCAAAATTATACCACCCGTTTTGGGAGAAACTTCCGACAAACATGCAGAACTTTTGGTACAAGTAACAAATGCAACCCACTTGACCACCAATAAGCAACGAATAATCTCCGAAGAATGCCAGTTGGCGACGACACATAATACGACGCCTGAGCACGATTTGGTTGCTAAAAATCTTGAATCAGACTCGGATGATTCTGGCCATATTTCAAATGAAAATATGGAAATTGCCATTAATCATACATCACATTCATCATCATCAACCAGTTTATGTGAAACCTCTTCATCAACATCATTATGTTCTGCCACTGCTTCCGCTTGTGATATTTCCGTTAGCAATGGCATTGATACCAAATCCTTAAAAATGTCTGAAGTTTTGCAGAAATTTGAACGTAAAGCACAGAAACAAACAACAGCAACAAATTCGAATGAAAATTGGAGCCAAGCATCCCAAAGAACAGAGCCAAAATTATTTAAAAATAACAATACATCAACTTGTGCTTTAATTCCTCGTGCAGCTAATTCTTCTTCACTACTACCAAATATTGATAGCGCTACCAAAATCGATTCTCAATATTGTACTACCTACAAGGTGGCCGAAGTTGAATCTGTTAGTGTGATTAGAACACTTGTCGAAATTTATCCAAATTACACAAAAGAGGTAACTATAAGGCTTCGCTGAACACTTATTTAACTGAAGTGAAAAAGCGCGAATGAGTGGAGGATTAAAAGAAAAGCATTTAGTAGTATTTTGCTAGTATTTGTATTATAAGAATGTAGTTCTTTATTTTTCTTTATATTTTATTTTATTGCATTACACTTATTATATATTTTCCTTTTTTATATATCCTTTATTATTAGAAATTTGTATTACAAAAATAAATTAATCTTTAATATAAACAAAAATGGTCTCTTTAATGGTTTGCCTTTTTATTTATTAGTTACTATAAACCTGGTCTTCAAATTTCAATATTTTTAAAACTATTTTGGTTGTACTATGTAAAAAGGACTGGTTGGGTTATATTATAAACATTTTTTTATTTAAACTCTTGCTTATTTCCTTTCTCCCCATTTCGGTATCTTCTCTAAAAAGATATGATCTAATAAGAATACTTTAAATTTGAATATACATATGTACATAACATACACAATTGAAACAATTTTTATTAAACTTCAAAATGTTTATGGTTTTTAATTATAATATAAATATGTTGTATAAAAAACGTATAATTTTCAGTAGTATTGTTTGGTTTAATATATATTACATACATATGTAAAGGCACGAGCCATACATACACATACATACATAAGTATGTAATAAGTAAGAACATTTTATGATCATAGATCAAGAGAATAAGAAGTTGTATACTTAACGAATAACTACGTCATGCAGCAGGCAGGGGTTTGAAATAAGCTTTAAGTTTCTGTATGAACACCTGTAAAATAATTCACGTACAAATACGTGATCTTGAAAAGGTATATATGCATTTGCCTTCCACTACCAAGATACTACAGGTGTCAAATTTTAATCAACTTAAATCGAGACTGATTACCATCGTAGTTAAATGAGTGTCTGACTGATTGGCGTTAGAGTAAACTTACATTATTAAGAAATAAAGAAAAACAAATTAAAATTTACGTCCCCGTACGTTTGTACGTGCATTCGCATATTATTACATTAGAGGTGCGGTATAAGAGCCGATTGCAGTTCCTCAAACAACTAATAAGGTTTTTGGCTGTTTTTTTATGTATACATAAAGGTATATTTTAAATTTCTAGGAATTATTAATAAATATTTGCATGCTATGCACGTTTTTTGTAGTTTATGGAAGCGAAAGACTTTCTTGTGAAAACAATTTTTTTTAAATTAAACGAATGAAAGTGAAACTAAAATATGGGTGCGGGATTGCTAATCAAGACCTACAACAAAATATGAAATTTACGTAATTAATTTTTGGAAATTTTCGTAACATATAGGGTCAACCTCAATAATTAAAAACCAATTATATAATACAATTTATGCATGTATGTATTTAAAAGAAAGTGCTTTCCGAGAGTTAATTTTTGAAATCATCCATATATCACGTATTTAGAACGAAACTATAGTAAAAAGAAACATAAAAATAATAAAAATTTACATAATTTGTAATTTTTTTTTTTTTTTGTTTATTAAAATTTCTGATTACCGTTGGAAGAACCTTTATAAGGATATGATATCGGAAAACATTTTAAAAGTAATGTTTATAGATACGTAATAGGAATGATTTACAGAAAAAAGTGATATTCGTATACCCTCTTCATCTCCGTGAGAGGATTATAGAAACATTTTTCATTTCGTTTGTTTCCACAATATAATTTTCCGAACCAGTTTCTGTCTGTTTGTATGAATATTAGGAACTCCAGTTGCAAATCTTCAATAATTTTATCAGACATCACTCCAGAATATTTGTATGCATATATAGCATATATTTGCGGATGTATGTATATATTCGAAAGATCTTTTATTTGATATGTATTATGTCTTGGTAAAGAATTATATATCCGAAAATATGGAAAAAATAAAGGTTTTTGATATTTTAGCTTGATTTTTTTTTTTTTTTTTTGTTAAAATTGAAAATTTAATTTAAAATTTTTTTTAAATTTAAATTTAAAAAAAAAATTAAAAAAAGCAATAAATATTTTCATTTAAGCGTTCAATAGTCTCGTAAACTGTATTCCGGATTTAGCATTAAATTTGGCACAATTTGTAGGGGGTTTTATTTGCACAACACTGATATTTTTGATCGTCTGTTTATATTGGCAAGTATAAACTAAGTTTTCTCTTTTTTTTTTGTTTGGTTTGGAAACGTGTACCATAAATCCGCTTAATTACTTTTATACACTATGGTGAATATACATAATTAATTCGGCCATAGCCGAATTTAGCTCTGTTAGTTAGTTTTATATTGTTATCCTCAAAGACATTACATGGAAACCTTTGTTGCTCCGGTATCTCTTACATGACTTACTCCTCGAACTTATGTATTTTTATATGTTTTCTAAACAAAAACATTAATAAACATACAACTCTTAGGTACGTTCACACATGTCAAATATTTGACAAAAATGATGTGACCCTAAAAAGATCAAATTATGATTTCCTTTAAATATATATTTATTTACATAAATCACTTTATTGTTTGTTTCCAAATTATTTGTAGTTACAAATATCAATAAAACATTTACCAAAGTATAACACATTTACCAAAAATAGTAATTATGTATTTTTCTTTATATTTGATAGGTGTGAATGTAAAACAGTAAAAAGTAGTGAAAATGTTACAAATATTTGATGAGTTTCACTTGCTTTCAAATTTACTTTTGCAAATCTAACGTATGTAAATAATACGTAACTGTGCCAATTTTTGTTTTAAACATATTTTAAGGGTTTCCCAAAATAAAATCATTAAGTTTTCTGAAAATACAAATAATCAAAAGTAGTCGGAATTTTTTGAAATTACGGAAAATTAATTAAATGTTATCGAACTACTTTTGATTTTTTTTTAATTTTATAAAACAATTTTTTGGAAAAATATTATTAACTGCCTAGTTCAAGATGTCAAAGTTTTAGAGCCAATTATTAGATGTACGATTATGTTCATCTGCTTTCTTCTTATTTACTAAACATTCATTGTTTTGATAGCAAATATTGACATTTCTGTTGTTGTATATGGCAATATTGCAAAAGTTAAAACTTGTACTCCAAACATTAGATTAAATAAATGTTTAGATTAACTTATATTGATTTTAATTGGAGTTTAATCATCAACTCAAAAATCCGCTCTTAGTGTTTGTTATTGTTCTTATTAAATAATGTTTTCATTTAGAATTGATCGAAATTAAATTTACATTTATTGTGAAAATTAGGAAAATAATCGATATTAAAATTTAGCTTTTTTATTATTATTTTTCAATAATTTAAAGTAATTTCGCAAATTTTATTTAACGTTTTTATTGAGAGATTTGCAATAACAAAAATACGAATATCACTAAACGATGTTACCGATCATTGAAATTAAACTTATTTGTTGAAAATAAATTCTCATTTTATTGACTTTACAGATTCTATTCCGTTCAGGTGTTTTGAGCGAATTGGAAGCAAAACGCGATGAATTATTATCGGATCGCATTATTCAATTGCAGGCTTACTGTCGTGGCCACCTAGCACGAAAGGCAATGGCACAACGAAGAGTACAAGTAAGTATTATTCTTAATAATATATTTTCGTACACATAGTATATACCTACCTAATGTCTTATTCATAGCCATTTATCAACAACAAATTGTGTATGAAATTTTGTCTTATAAACCTTTGATAAATTGTACTGAATAAGGCCACTAATGTACATACATATACTATATACAGAAGTAACAATGATGTGAATGACCACTTTCACATTGTTTTTTTTTTTTGCAATTACATATACTAAGTGCGGGATTTGACGAAAGTAATTATGTATGTAAAATACAAACGTATATTTTTTTAGGAACTTGCTGTTCGATGTATACAACGTAATGTTAAAGCATTCCTTGTTGTGAGAGATTGGCCATGGTGGCGACTTTTAGTACGTGTTATGCCCCTATTAAATGTTCACCGTACAGAGGAACAACTTAAAATCGCTAATGAAGAACTACTAACTCTACGAGCGAAATTAGAGAGAATCGAAAATGATCGTAGCGAACTAAAGACTGAAAATCAAAAACTAGAAGCCAAGGTATGTATTATTATTATTATTAAAAAATGGATAACATTTTTTACTTAAGAGGCAAACATTGCAATATGAAAAACACAACATGAATATGGGTATTTGTTTTAGGAGGTTATGAGTTTATAACAATATAGTTTCTACTAAACACACAGATATGTACAATATGTTTATACTTAAAGTATTTAATCAATTTCAGTATTTATTAAATTGCATATTCTGATATAAGAAAGTTTTTCTATTTTATATATACGCAAATTATTTAAGTCGATATCATTGAATTTTAAGTGCCTCGTTACTAATGAACAAATTTTCCAAGCATTGTTAGTTGACCTAATCTTACGCCGTAGTTCTTAACGTAGCATTTTGTATCAATATGCATTTGTTTAACGTCAATTATGTTACGAAATTTGACAATGGCATTAAATCTTTATAATGCGGCCTGACAAGCGTACGCCAAAAATTTAAATACAATATTTGTTTGAGAAATATTTATGTATACAGAAGTATATTAATATATATATTTCTGTTTTGTATACACTAAACGAAATTCTATATAATGTGTTGTGTTTATTTGCTCTTGAATTGCGATAAAAATAAGTGAAGAACCCCAAGTTTTAATACCCTTAGTAATATTATTAAAAAACTGTATATATAGAAATGTTAATTTTCTATCATATTGGAATAAATTGACAGCAACGAGTTTATAATAAATGACTTTCGTCATGCATATGTATGAGGGATGACTATCAGGAATAGTTTTAGAAAATCTTAGCATATAGGATTTAAAAAATAAAATGCAGTGATATTTCAGAATCTCAGATTTTTTTTCTTCTGGAATTGAAAATTCTTTGCTTATAAAATCAAAAATTAACCTTTAATAACTTTATAAATACAATGCAATATTTATTAGAATAAATTGTAAAACAATAAATTAAAGATAAGTAATGTTATTTAATATGATCGGATTAACTTAGTAAACTATATTAGTTTTTTTTATTTAGTTACTGTAAAAAGATACAAAGTATATAAAAAAAATACTGGCTAAACGCCAATTTTTTATATTTTATTGTTTAAATTGTGCCATTTTCATTCATATTTATAATGTTAGTTTGGTAATTTGACAAATACGTAAAATGATTTATGAAACACATTTTTAAAAC